AAATAAAGATATAAAAGCAACCTTCTTGATGGTTGAATGTGAGGAATACTATATAACTACCAATATTCACACAATGGCCATGTATGTCTGCTGCTGTGTTTTTCATTATAACATATATGCAACAGCGATTATCCTTATGCTCACTGTCTTGTCCTTCTCGACAGGTGTTTATGTTAGTGATACAGAACTTCTGCATCAAAGGGGAAGCACATTTGAAAGTAGTATAAATTTACAGGCCTTTCTCTGAGATAGAGTTTCCTCAATAGCACAGTATATTCCCTGAGTCTCCCTTCTTGTTTTATTTACATTGTCTTTCTGTGAGTTCTGGATATTTTATTAATTAAGTGGAATACACCCTAGTAATTTTGATGATTTCCCATTAGAATCAGAGTTGTTGGGCTTGGCTTAAAGTCACTGGACTAGTTAGTGCTTATAGAACCTGAGATCAAATTTGAAGTCCAGTGTTCTTATAAGTTACTAAAATGGCAAGATTTCTTTCCCTCTCCTCCTCCTCTTCTCTGTCTGTTTTCCCCCATATAAATACTTGAAATTACTTGAATAGTATATTTTGCAGTAAGTCAAATCATTTTTGCTCCACTTTATTCAACAGAAGATTTTGAAATAGCCAATTTACCTGTAATTGTTAATGTGGGTTTTTTTGTAAATATTGCTAAATGCTGGGTTTAAAAAAAAAACACACTTAAAGTTATCTTTAACATACCAGAACTGTTGAAATAGAAAAGTTGCCCCAGTGATATTTAGTGTATTTTAGTCATCAGATGTTTATCAACTTGAAGCGTAATAAGCAATTGTTCAGCCATTACTTGGCTAATCTGCAAGAATTTTGCTATATAAGCTAACAGACATTTTACATTAAGAGATAACTCATGCAGGAATTCTTAGTACAATTTTAATTACGATGAATGAGCATTTTTAGTTGGATTTATTGTGATTTATCTGCTCCTCCTCTAGAGTGACCTCTACTTCTGGTCATGTTACATGGCCATTCCCTTTGTGGTCATGTGTGCTGCATAGTTTTCAAATTGCTATTTGTGAACCCATGTCAGCATTGTTTGTCATATTCTTCAAACATTTTCCTTTGAAATGCAATTTTATTTCTATACTTGTAAAATTTGATGACGTTTTGTGAATGAAGCATTAAAAAATAAATAATATTGTTTGTGGTACCTTATGGGAATCACATTACTTCCAAACTAGATTTCTTTTTCCTTCAGGTGGAATAAATCCCCATTTCTAGTTTGTGTGTAATGAGAGGGTAGTCTGTACATCTCCTCATGAGTATTCTAGCTCAGGTTTCTATTTAAAACATTAGTAAACATGGATAAATGTAGTTACCATGTTTCTCGCTTTTCATAAACTGCTCTAAATCCATCAAGTTAAATGTAGTTATTGACAAAAATAACAGGAATTTTATCTGAACTGGATTTGTTAATGCATTCCTTTAAAAGCTAATCTTTCACTGTTCATTGCATATGAAGCTTTTGTTAGTCTAAAGGATGTTCCACACATTGGCTCCTTGCTCTATTTTCTTCTACTTCAAAATGAGCTTGGATACCTACCAAATGTAAATGTGCCTAATTGCTTATGATGTCAGTGGGGAGTAAAACCAGGCCTCACACATGCTAGGTCAGCACTCTTATCTCTGAGCTCTACTCTGGCTTTTAAAAAGACTTAAATGTTGAAGTCAGCTGATGATTGCTGTGTAATATTGTATGAAAATTGATATCATTCTACTTGTTAATCTTCCTCAATTAAACACTATTTCTTACATTTTACATTGCTTTAGTAAATAATTTTTTACATAAAAGAGCTCATGGACTTGTTAATTTTGTTTATGGGGAATTACTTTTTATACTCTGAGGGTAATTACTGATCGTTTACCATCTGTTTCTATTAATCAGTCTTTTTATTCTCCCCAGTCAGTGATATTATACTACATTTTATGTAAGTTCATTTTTCTCTCTTCACTTATGATGATTTTGACATGTGGGGAATGTGCTACAGATTCTATGCTCTTCTGTCAGTTATATTCTTGGCATAATATGAGCCTGGATTCTAGTTCTTATAAAATATTTTGGGCAGTTTAGTGAAATTAGTCATCCCTATTAGTTGATTTTATGAAAGCTCTTGTTTTCATTTAGTATTTTGTACTAGATTGGGCTATTCTTTTCTAAAAATGTAAACTTTTATATTTTAAAAAATTTTTATGAAAAAAACAGAGAAAACTGTTTCCTGAATGCCGACAGTATTCATGTATTGTAGGATGTAATTATTAAATTGCCATTCGTTTGATGATGCTACTGCATAAAGAGGCTCAAGCTATAACTGAGTGTATTTTTACCCACTTGACTTGTATTTTATTTTCTTTGTAACAGGGAACATGGGGCTGTTGTGCCTATATATGGGGTTGGTTAGATATGTTAACACATCAAAATTTTGAATTAAATATTCTATTTTTTTAAATATTATGTTAAATTTGCACACAAAAGATGATAGGATGGTTTTAAAATAAAGAAGTAGGTCAATAGGGTAGTCTGTTCCTTCTGAAGCCATTGCTATCCCAGACATTTTCTCATGCCGATTTCTTAGTGTGGAAGACATTGGAGTGTTAGACATGGAAAGCAATCGAATGCTATAAGCAGAACTTAGACTGTTCTGTTCTGAAGACAGTGTTGTTGAGAGTAATACAGAGAGTGGAAACCTGCAGATAGGCGTCTATAAGCAACTGGGCTACACACGATTCATGTAGGATTTTGGCAGATAATCTGGTCACATTCTGCCCCTTGCCTGGAACAAATTTCTTAGGTGGGGGAATTGTCAAGGCAGCATTCACTTAGGTGTATGCCATCATTATTACTGATTACTCATTTATATGTCCACAATGAAAAAGTAACTAATATACTTAGTGGTTTCGTTTTTAGTAGTTGTATAGGGACAGATGACAAGACTTTGGTATATTAAAGAAATTGCCATAATATCCTGTTAAATCACTAATAGCTTGCATTCATTCCTATGCTATGGGGTTAAAAAATTAGTTTGATCTGATCCCCTAGGGCAAAGATTTTCTAAAATAAGTAAATGAAGCTAAGATCCTCTAAATCAACCTGATCAAAACTCACACGAAGGATTCCAGGCAGCATGAACAGCTCTGCACCAGCCCTTTACATATATATTATCTCTTTCAGTTTATTGTTTTTATCGGATTCCTGAGTGTGAGAACAAGTGAGTTTCTTTTTCTTGTATCTTCTCTAGGGCTCTCTCCCTTCAGTTTGTTTTGTCCAATTCCATAGTGTTAGTTTTTTATTAAATTTTTATTTTATTTTTTAAAAAAAGATAAATTAGCAACCAATATCACAAAAGTCCTTTATTGAAAATAGATTAACAATGGCAATGGGGTTTTGATCCTACTGTACCTATTGGTTTCGTGGGAGCCTAGGCAGTTTCATGGATGCTCACCTTACTAGACCTGGATGGAGGTGGGTGGTCCTTGGACTTCCCACAGGGCAGGGAGCCCTGATTGCTCTTTGGGCTGACGAGGGAGGGGGACTTGATTGGTGGAGGGGGAGGGAAAGGGGAGGCAGCGGTGGGGAAGAGACAGAAATCTTTAATAAATAAATTTTAAAAAAAGAAAATAGATTAATAATATGAAATAGTAATATTAAAACTAACATCATTGGCACATATTAATAATAATATGTTATATTATTAATATTTGACATAATTGAAAAGAGAATTTATAAATTGTAAAACAGAGTTGAAGTAATTCATTATGTATAGAAGGAAAACAAGAATGCAACATTTAGAGAAAGGTTGAGGACAGGTAAAAGTGTCCACAAATATATTTCACTGGAAGATGGGAAACTGAAAGTAATCCACCCAGAACCTGAAAGGGATCCATCTTCAGCTTTGGGAAGTAGAGTTACTCTAGGCACAGTTTTGAAGTTGAAAATATTGGCGATAAATGGAAGATCTTAATTGTTTCCAGAGAAAAGATAAACAAGGCACAGAACATTGAGACAGGCTCCTACCTGAAAGCACCACCTTAGTGAGAAGGCCTCTTGATCATTTCCTGGCTGCCAGACTCCTGAAATAACCACACAGAAACTGTATTAATTAAATCATTGCTTGGCCCATTAACTCTAGCTTCTTATTGGCTAACTCTTACATATTAATTTAACCCATCTCCATTAATCTGTGTATCACCATGTGGTTGTGACTTACCAGGTAAAGTTCTGGTATCTATCTCTGGTTGGGCTACATGGCTTCTGTCTGACTCTGCCTTTTTTCTCCCAGCATTCAGTTTAGTTTTCCCCACTTAGTCTGCTTAGTTTTCCCTGCCTAGCTCTGCTCTACCCTATCACAGGCCCAAAACAGCTATTTTATTAACCAATGGTACTTAGAGCATATAGAGGGGAATCCCACATCACACCACTTTTCCCACAGGACATCCAAAGCCAGTGTGTTAATGTGCTCAGAGCAACTGACTATAAGAAACTGTATTCTACTCCTTCCTATGAGCATGAACCTATCTTCTCTTATAGAAGAGGAAAAGCACATTGGAGAATAGGCTAGTACCAGTACCACACACTCTCCCTCTCTTTTCAGAGGAACTGAGGAAGATGCCTAGGGTGTCTGGGTGGTTTTATTTTGTTTTCTTTTGGAGTGAGTGTTTGGTTTGGTTTGGCTTTTGGTTTTTTGAGACAAGCTTTCTCTGTGTAACAGCCCTAGCTGTCCTGGAACTAACTCTTGTAGACCAAGCTGGCCTTGAACTCACAGAGATATGCCTGCCTCTGCCTTCTGAGTGCTCAGATTAAAGGGGTATGCCAACACCTGGCTGTAGAGTCACTATAATAATGACAGAAGTGCCATAAGATGAATCTAAGGATCCACGGGTCTTCTGAGCATTTGTATTTCAGTATGTTCACCACACTGTGCTTTGCCATTTGTACTGAAATGATTTATATTCTATTTGTTTGAAGCTCTCTTCAGAGCCTGTGCTGATGGAGGTGCCAACCGCTTATATGACCTCACCGAAGGAGAGAGAGAAAGGTATGTGCCAAGTCAGTGTCTGCATGCCCCTCTGTTTTGCTGCTCTTTAGTTTTACTCTTCTTATGGCGACTGTTTATTTTCCTCCATATTCATCATAGGAAATTGCCTCTAAGAGAAGGGTTGAGCTACATAACCACAATATATTATTTCTTTTGTTGAATGAGATTTCTGAGAATTAGGATCATCTCTATTCTTCTATTTAAAATCCTATTCTATTACTTTAAAGCCTCATTAAGTCACATTACCAAATATTGAAATTTGTGAGAACTTTTCAGAGTGGCTAAAATAAAACCTCAAATGACTATTTATGTTGGTATTAAAACACTTTAAATGAATAAAAACTAGACTCCTGGAAAAGAAATATATAGTCTGCTGTAGAAGATGTGAAGTTTTATATTAGTGTGGAATAATTCTCAGTAGGACTTACTCCTTCTTAATTACTTCTGAGTTACATACATTTACTTTTGGAGAGAGCTTATTTAATGATTTGGTTTTGCACTGTCTTGTTTTCCTGATTCTTGTCTGATGAGATACTATTTGATGAGAGAATATGTTTAATGGAAGCAGATTTTCAAATTAGTTCAACTTTGAACATGTTTGTGTCCCAGATAGTTTAGAAACACAAGATTCCGTGGTGTAGATGTGAGGATACTATTTGTGTGAGCAGCTCAGGCATTCTCATATGTGTTAGGAGCTGTACTGAAATGGTTGGCATTTGAGAAATCACCTACTCACTTACAAAACAAAAATGAAAATATTATAACAGGCCCTGTGTGGGCATAAACAAATGTGCTTTGAAATCATGTATTTATCTTTGTGACATCCGAATGTTTAACTTCCGTTTTCTGATACCAGAGCTGCTTTTGAGAGCATCTGGTTGCTTTCTTTGGAGAAGTTGTTTTCTTTGAGATCAGATACTATTTGTTAATGTGTGGAGACTAGATGCAATTAAAAAAAGAAGGCAAATAAGAGTGACAACCTGGAATAGTTAAATTCTATTTACTCATTACTGCACAACTTTGTAACTTCCTCTGACAGTATACTCTAATACCTGACATGGACAATGTATGAAAAACATTCCAAGTAGGTTTAAAAAGTGCCTTGACACATAGTATGGAATAGGGAGTCATTTCACAAGGTTCAGGTTATAAACTGGGTAGATTTTATCTCATGCCTGTAGCCTGGTTACTATTAAGAGGTCAGCAGTTATACACTATTTCTCTATTGGTAGGCACAGCTCAGGAACATATTAAAATCAGGACTTTGGAAGTTATTAACCTATCACTTTCCACCTATCTTTTAGTAATGACACCCATCTAGAATGCTTATGAAAAATTACAGATGTCTGTATTAATTATTTTATTTGATTTAGACAAGCACTGATAGCAAAGGTAATAGAACACTTTTATCTATATTTAAAAGTAGATTAATAGATTTTTTAAAACAAATATTATTATTTTACCTAATTTAAAATTAATCAAATCAAGTATTCTTCATCATATTTATAAACAATCTTTTGTTTTGCTGTTTTCATCAGTCGTTGGAGGAAGGTTCCCAGATGACAAGTGGGGTAGTTACCAATCTTATTGCAAAGATGGCCAGTATAAACTATGTGTCCATTATTTCTAGGAGTCTTAGATACAGCCACCTTTGTAGATTTGCAGGAGTTTCCCTTGCACCAAGTTTCTACTTTACTCCAGAATATAGCACCATCAAAGTGTCTCTTTCAATACTCTCCCCTGTGTCCACCTCCACAACCCTATCTATCATATCCCCATTTGCACTGACCCCCCATTCTACCCACAAGATCTCTTTTACTTCCCTTTCCCAGGTAAATACATGCATCCCCATCCTTTTTTGGGCTCTCCTTGTTACCTGGCCTCTCTGTGGCTGTGGATTGTAGCATGGTTATCCTTTACTTTACAGCTGCTATCCATTTATAAGTGGGTACATATCATATTTGTCTGAGTCTGGGTTACCTCATTGAGGATGCTTTTTTCCTAATTATATCCATTTGCCTGCAAATTTTATGATGTCATTTTTTTTATAGCTGAGTAATACTCCAGTTCATAAATGTGCCATATTGTCTTTATTTATTTTTCAGTTGACGGGCATCTAGATTATTTCTAGGTTATGGTTATTAGAAATATTGCTGCTATGAACATAGTTGAACAAGTGTCCTTGCGGAATGATTGAGTATCCTTTGGGTATATGCCCAAGAGGTATTGTTGGGTCTTGAGATAGATTGATTCCCAATTTTCTGAGAAACCCCCTTCTTGCTTTCCAAAGTGACCATACAAGTTTGCACTCCCACCAGCAGTGGGACAGAGTGGAATAAGTTGTCATTAGTGTTTTTTATCTTAGCCATTCTAACAATGTAAGATAGAATCTCAGAGTTCTTTTGATTGTCATTTTCCTGATGAGTATGAATGTTGAACAGTATTTTTTAATGTGTCTCAGCTATTTCAGATTCTTTTGTTGAAAATTCTGTTTAGATCTGTGCCCCATTTTTAATTGGATAATTAGTATTTTGATGTCTAGTTTCTTGAGTTCTTTATATTTTGCAGATTAGTACTCTGTCAGATGTGGGGTTGGTGAAGATCTTTTTCCATTCTGTAAACTGCCATTTGATCTTGTTGACAGTATCCTTTGCCTTGCAGAAGGTTCTCAGTTTCAGGAGGTCCCATGTATTAGTTATTAATCTCAGTGTCTGTGCTTTTTTTTCTGTGGTATTCTTTTCTAAGGTTGTCTCCTGTGCCAATGTGTTCAATGCTCTTTCTCACTTAGGATTCATATAGTAAAAATGGCAGTCTTATCAAAAGCAATCTACAAATTCAGTACAAAATTCCAACACAATTCTTTATAGACCTTAAAAGAAAAATACTAAATATTATATGGAAAAAACAAAAAAAATCCAGGATAACTAAAACAATCCTGTATAATAAAGGAACTTGCAGAGGTATCACCTTCCCTTATTTCAAGCTCTAATATAGAGCTATAATAATAAAGGCAGTATAGTATGCCATAAAATCAGACAGGTGGATCAATGAAATCGAATTGAAGACCCTCACATAAATCCACACTCTTGTGGATACCTGATTTTTGACAAAGAAGCCAGAATTATACAATGGATAAAAAGAAAGCAACTACAACAAATGATGCTGGCATAACTGGATGATGGCATGTAGAATTGTGCAAATAGATCCATATCTATCACCCTGCACAAAACTAAATACCAAGTGGATCAAAGATCTCACTATAAATCCTATTATACTGAACCTGATTGTAGATAATGAATTTTTAAATAAATTAATATTTGAGTAGATCAAATTCTATAAGATTTAGAATGGTTTTGATTTTTATTTCAGACAAATCTCAAACTTATAACCTAGTAATACACTTGTGTCAAGGAAAAATAATCTTTTAAACAAAAATGGACTATAAGATGTGTATTCTAACTTTGCTGTGAAAATAATTTTGACTTCATGGAATGAGCTTGTTTCTCTCCTATGTTATGAAGCTTAGTCTGAGAGCATTTGGTCTTAGCTCTTATTTAAAGGTATTATATCTTTTGCAGTAAGTCCCATTTGGTCTTCAAGTTCTTTTCCTAGTAGACTTTTTAATACTACTTCATTCTTCTTATCTGTTGTGTGCTTTAGATATTTATATTGTGTTGATTTGATTTTGGCAGGCCATATATATCTAGGAATTTATCAGTGTATTCTACATAGGTCAGATATTTAGAATATAAGATTTTAAAATACCAACTAATGATACAATCTTTTTCACTGGATGCTGTCAACTGACTTCCTTTTGTCATTCATTTGATTAACTTGGGCTACCTCCCTATTACTTTGGCTGATTGGTAAATGTTGTCCATTTTTTTTTCAAATAATCAACTTTTTGATAGATTCTACTTACTGTTATTTTAATTAATTTTAAAAATGAATTTCTACCCTAATCTTTAGTAATGAATGCTTTGTAGTTTGGAAGATTCTTGTTTTTCTTTAACACTGAAAGGAACCTATAGACTCAATGAAATCCTTATCAAAATATGAATGGCATATAATACAAAGCTAGTAAAATAATTTCTACTCTTATATAGAAATATAGAGTGTAGTAAGGAGACTACTTCTTTGTTTCCCAGCCGCCCAGCAGCTCAGGCCTGAAATAATCACACAAAAACTATATTATTTAAATCACTGCTTGGCCCATTAGCTCTAGCTTCTTATTGGCTAACTCTTAAATCTTAATTTAACCCGTATCTAGTAATTTAGTATTCATGAGGCTGTGACTTACTGGATAAAATTCCAGCATCTGTGTCTGGAGGTGCTACATGACTTCTCTCTGACTTCACTTCCCTTCTCCCAGCATTCAGTTTAGTTTTCCTGCCTACCTAAGTTTTGTCCTATTAACAGGCCAAGGCAGTTTCATTATTCACCATGGTATTCACAGCATACAGAGGGGAATCCCACATCAGTAGAGGCAATAAATAGCTAATGCTACCCAGGGCAGAAAAGGCAATCACAGAGATGGCAAGATAACCAATCTCAAATTGTACTACAGAGCCACAGTAATGAAAGCAACTTAGTGCTGACCTGAATACAAAAATATAGACCAGTGTAATAAAATAGAAGACACTGATACAAATGAACAATAGTCACCTAACTTTTTGAAAAATTGTTAAAACATAATATTAATATTTATTTATTTACTTATTTAGTGTATATGCGTGCACTTGTGTGGGTCTCAGCATGAGTGTGGAGGTCAGAGGACAATTTGTGTGAGTCAGTTATCTCTTTTCTCTATGTTGGTTCTAGGAATTGAAATCAAGTCTTTGGATTTGGTGATATATATATACAATAAGAAAATAGTTGATGAGATAAGAGGGGTTCTCAAGTCAGGACCCCTTGAAAAACCTCCATCTCCAAAAATATTTACATTATGATTCTAATAGCAAAATCACAGTTATGAAATAGCAAATAAAATCATTTTATGG